GGGTTCATCATCTCACATGAAACTAGGTGCCCCGAGACTGCTTACAGGATTTACTTTAGCACTGCCTGCCAACAGATCAGTAAGTTTTTTTTGAAACAGAAGAATGAAGTGTATTTTAAAATGAAGTTCTGCATGTGGAAAGGCTCACTGTTTCTCTGAATAACGTGGGTTTTCATCAAACACTAGAAACAGAAAATCACCCAGCAGGTTTTGCTTGAAAACGGTTCTTTATAAATACTTCAGCAATTATTTTTTTAAATAAGGAAAATTTTCCTGACTAGGTTAGTTAGTGATTGAATGACCACATTACCCACAGCATAAAAACTGTTCCTTCATTTCTGGAGCACTATAAAGCTTCTCAAGTGACCCTGAAAAGTTCAGCGGTGGCGTTCACAGATGTTTTTGCCCTCTGGTCTTCTTGACGTGCAACCTTCTGCACATACAGTTTTAAGAGACAATTCTAACATATAGATGCTTGCCTTTATGTATGTCTGGAAGGTGAGTGTGCTGACAGCAGCGTCAGCAAGAGGAGGAGTAAGACAGACAACCATCTGTACAGACTGTAGTGCGTTGCTTGTTCAGCCTACATAGTTTCTGTAAGCCAATCTGAAAGGGAAATGACAGTGGAGGGGTGGAAGAGAAAACGCGAAGGGGACAAGGAGAAGAAGAAGATAAAGAGAAAGGCTATCCCTGCTGTGGAGGCAGATCCCTTAAGAACAAGAATACTTGGGCACTGTGTCTAGATGGCAGGTAACTGCAAACAGAAGAACCCAGTCACATGTGTGACACTGAGGATTAGTTGAGGACTTTGCTTGTTGAAGCCCCTTGTTCCTTCCCACTGAAATGATGCACACGCCATTCCATCTCAGCTCCAGCAATGCCACCTCACATGTACTCCATCACCAGCAGGCACCAAATGCTTCCAGGTCTTTTACACTCATCTTTGACATCTTTCTTTCCTCCTCCTGCCCCCAGCATGCTCTTCTCGGGTCCCTAAACTGGCACGTGGGAAAAGGAAAGCCTGTATTTATCAGGCAGCCAGCCAAGCAGAACAGATAAAATTGTGAGCTTGTACCACAGCCCCTCAAGAGAAAATTTAGCTGAAATCGCTGGGTAATTTAAGAACACTGGGAGGGAAAAGGAGGAGATAAATGACAGAAAACACGACTGTACAGACCTCACCTCTAAAAGAAACAAGGTGAAGATAAGCATCAGTCAGATCATCTGACTAGTGGATATATGCCTGGGTGACAGGAGGACCCTGTATGCAGCTCTTGCATCAAAGTTCTTAATCACCATCATAAGCTGGGTTTCTTTTCCCCTTATTCTCCCAATAAGTTTCAGTTCCAGCTTTGCCACATGGTCACAGCATCACCGTGACATTTGCGTCAGAGCCTGGATTCTCCCTTTTAAAACACCCCCAACAGTAATGACATTTCAGATGATGCATTAACGAAAGGTTTAGCGCCCGATTTATGTCAAAAGGTAAACCTTTGTGACTGTTAACATTTAACACTCTGCAAGCACCACAAAGGGAGTCCTATAGTTCATGCTTGGTGTTGTAAGGAGCATGCAGATGGCTAGTTAAAAGAAAAGCCAAGGAAGAATGGGCTGTTTCAGAGCAGACATGGTTAGTAAAATTTCTTTAAACCAGTAATGTTTCCTAGCAGATCAGGTAGAAACAAATATTTTCTCCTGTGTCTAGGTTGCTTCACAGTAGCTAATCAGCATCAGTCCCAAAGAGCAGGCAACACCTCAGCCTGGTACTGTAGAGATAAACTCCTCAAAAGATTATTCTGAAAAGCTGGACCTGATACTGTTCCTGTCAGAGCTGCAGACTCTGCTAAAAACAACTGCCTTTGATTTTCCCCCACTGCACCAGTAGCTGCTTTAATTATAAAACTGAATTGCAGTAAGGGCCTGACCTCCCGACTTAGCTCTAACAGTTGAAAATATTTACCATACATGGGCAAAAACCCCTATAGGGCACAGGAAAAAAAAAAAAAAAGAAAAAAGAGGAAGACATATACATAAAATAGCTGTGACATAACCACAAGAATAACAGTAGAAGCAAGCATTTAAACTCAGTCGTGTTCATGTTAGATTCTTTAGAAATATTCCAGATTCTACCTCGGGAAAACTCTGAAGAAACAAACTGGGACACAAGATCAGGTTGAGTGTTTTCATTTTTGCTACAGGCTAATAGCCAAAAACATATCAGGAGAAGGAAAATCATTTTAACCGTTACTGACTTTTAACTCAGCAGAAAACAAAAGTCTCAGCTTCTCTTAAAAATTAAAGTGAACACACATCTCAAACCACATAATCCTACATGGTTTAATACTGAGGGATTTAGTAGTTCACTCCATATCTTTTCAAGAAGAAAAGCTTCCAAAAGTGGGCAGATGCAGCAGTCTTGGAATATTCAAGACATACCAATTGTCTCAGAAAGGATCTGGCTTTGCTTTTCATGTTGAAATTCACCTACACTAAAAATGCAGAATTATGAGAAAGGTACCACAAAATCCTCTATTCCACTAGAGGAACAAGCATCAGTTTCAGACAATGCATCACCTCTTCCCTTCCTCTCTATAGCTGAGAAATTTATGTTCTGGCTGTTACAAAATTGTGTCCTTAGAGAAGGAGACATATTCTCTGCCGGGCTTGCTAACCAACACCAGCAGTAGGAGACGGGAGCAGAAAACAGAGCACAACAGCATGTCTGTATTCTGTTGTGTACTTGTAAAACAAACCCAAAACTCTATAGAGAAAATTATATTGTTAGAAATGCCTTGCACTTTAACTACTTAAGTTTTGTGTCCAAAGCAAAGGGGCTGTGTTTGGCATTTTAAAGGTAGTGCTCATGCTGGCTGACTGTACTATCTCTAAGCAAATCTATCTCAAGTACAGTTATTTAAATGATATTTATTATATTTAATGGTTTTATTACAGTCCCATGCTGGCTGACTGTAGTATCTCTAAGCAAATCTATTTCAAGTACAGTTATTTAGATTATATTTAATGGTTTTATTATAGCCCACAATGCTTTTACCGTACAAACAGGAAGCCACAATATTGCAGCTAAACTTACATAGCTGGTCATCTTCATTTCCTTCTTGAATTTGGAAAGTAGCCAAAGCAGTAAAATCAGTAAGAAACCCTCATCCCTACAGGTACCAGAGGAAGTCTTGATGTACTAGCCACTACAGGCCACAAATTAACGTGAGGCTCCTTGACAAGTAGAAGGTCGGCCACATGAAAGTGATTCTAAGAAGGAAAAAACATCAATAAGTTAATGTGCTCAATGTTCCTTCATACAAACAAGCCTTTTGAGTCATCATGGTCTCTAGTGTATGGCAGTTATGTGATCTCAAACGCAGATGTGTTAAAAGAGCTTCTGACACCTGTTAGGTGGTACAGGAAAGTCACAGAAAAAGCCAGACGTTTAGCCAAACAAACAAAAAAAATCATCGGAGATATACTACAGAAAAAAAAAACAACAACCAACCAAAACCCCTCGTTTTTTACTGTTTCACAGCACAAAACTGAAGAGCAAGATCCACCACCCAAGCTACACGTGCATGTAGCTTTGCTGCACAGCACCCCCTCCACGGGGCAGAAGCCAGGCCTGGTAAGGAGCACTGCCCTCAGCTCAGCACCACCGCCTCTGCAGTACGCCTTCGCCAGTCAGCAGGTGTATTCAGTGCCTGACACACTGTATGTTAAACACGGGGCTTATTAGGAATAAAATCTTCCCAAACACACAAAAGGAAACATCTCCATCGCAATTTCAAGCACGGTGACATTTTACTATGTGCCAGGCATCACATATATTTTCCTTAGGCAACAGATAACTTGCTGCGCTATCTCTATGAGAGGAAAATCTTCCACTTGCTATCTTCCCAATAACTTTGCTGTCTTCATAGACATGAGATGACAATAGCCAGGGGCATAGCTGAAATCCTTGGATTTTAACACGCGCTGAGCTGATAGGAAACTTTTTAATTGGAAAGGTCACAGGAGACAGATTTCTGGGCGTATCTCCAGCTAAATGTCACCTCTCCAGCAATGCTCTCATCAGAGCTTACATAAAAAGCAGACAGACACTTTTCAGCGATACACACGTCTACCTTGCAGCAGGCCAGCCTGCCTCCTAAGGGTAAAGCTTATATCCTCCAGGGACGTACAGCAGAAATGCTGTCTTACAATCCACAGCTGCAGAAGGCAAAAACCAGTCTGTAGTCTCCACCTGCCTTTCTATAGCCACGCACTGACCAGAACTAGAAACCAAAAGTTGATAACAAAATGAGGTGCTTGTGAAATTTCACCAAACAAAAATGAGAAGCTCTGAAATCTGTTATTATTTTGGTTGGCTGCTTTCTTAGCCTGAAATTGAAAAATGCACATAAACCCAAAGGTGCTTGATTTTGAAAAGCAAATTGAATTCAGTCTCTCACATCCCAGATAAGCATCCTAAATCTTGGTGCACTGTTGTGAATGGATGGGTACTCTTCGGTCGTCCTTCTGTGCAGTTATACTCTTGACCAGAGAAGCCTTCTCAGTGTCAAATCCAATATATTTGTTGGAACAGATTCAGCTCTGATGAGATCCAACAACCAAAATTTTGTCACTAAACATACAATCAGTTCTAGTAACACAATAAAAACCAGTCTGAAATCAGACCTCAGCCGTTCTGCTCACATCCTTACTGCCTCACTGTTTTTCCATTAACAGATTAAGCCCCTTGTATTTCATTGGTGAAACGAGGGAAAAATTAATTCTATTCCATATTGTCTCCTGCTGTTCCTTCTCCAAAGTCTTCAACATATTTAAACATAAATCCCTGGAAGTTCTAGCTTAAGCAAAGGAAGAGTTGAATCAGGATTCTATAATAATAATTCCCTATAACCCCTGTCCATTCTAAGTCTGTCTCACAGAAGAAACCAAGACATTTACTATCTACAGAGTACAAGAAAAAAAAAGTGCAACAAATATTTTTTGAGTTTTATTAACTTTAACAAAAACAGCAAATTAAAGGGTGGTCAGTTTTTGGAGAGGACTTAGATACACATTTAAATGCGAACTGCAAATATATAACCAATTATGTACAACTGTGTCGGTCATCAACAGAACACTAATCAATGTAATCCAAATCTTCCGGGATTCCAAAACCTTTATCAATTCTGCTCGCTTCAAATCCAAATTTGCGTTTGGCCCAGGACTTTATTGAAAAGATGTTATCTGTGAACAAAATGAAAAACATTCAGCTTTGAATATTTAGGAAAGCATGAATTATAGTCTTGGTTCCAACAAAATCCTTACATTTAAAATATCTCCTGTGTGTCTGAAAAAGGTACATAGTGGGGAATATCATTTCTAAGTAGATTTAGAAAAGAAAACAGAAGGTTTTTGTTAATAACATAATTTTACTCAGTTCTAAGTGAAATATTTCCTCTTTCTTGGTTGTTTGTTTTATCTTTTCTTGCTCCTCTCTTATAAGGAGACTGAAAGATACAATTACAGTGTAAACCTGCTATAGTGATGAGGTAAGTGTGAATATGCATAGTGAGTATTTTATAGGTCCTTCTTCAACTAGACACCTACTGACTGTCTACAACTGCAAAAATTAAATTTTAATCAGCTAAAAAGTCCTTTCCAGTCCCATGTGTTTGTTCAGACACTGTAGATTTTCTGAAAGTTAAATAAAAGACATTCAGGAAGCTTTATTTTGATCAGCACTTCTCTTTTAGGATGATATTATTATTTTAACATATACATTTTCTTCAATTTAACATAATTTTTCACTGCAGTTTTGACTGAAACTTATGAAGTCATTTCTAAAACCCATTATGTCATTCCTAACACCCACAAACTGCAGCATTCCTTAAGAGAGGAACTGTTCTCTGCCTGCACACCTTAGAAATATTTCCTTTTCTTTAACCATCACACCTTTGGTTTTAGAACTGTCTCTCCGAAAGAAAAATATGCTACAGCATATAACCTAGTTGTCTGATTAAATAGCAAAGTACTTTCTACAGGCGGAGGCATAGCTCCTTCAACTCACTCAAGGCCTTGAGAACAACAGCCTGTCATCAACAGCAGACAGCCCTGACAACAGAATTCCCAGAAGTTATTTTCAAATCCATAATTTTATTTGCCCATATGCAGTAAACAACCCAGTGCAAATGAAGATATAATAATAGTCAAAAGACTAAGAAAATTATATCCTGCTGCACTTGTCATAACCAATGATAGCGGGCAGTCCATCAGTAGATCAATTCTAAACAAAAAAATTACAAACAATATTCTAAATAATTTAAAAAAAATAAGGACATACAAATGGCTTGCTCTGCAAAATGGAAATTTGATATAGCAAAGCTAAGCAACAACAGAAAACTGAGTTAAACTTCCATATGAATGTTATCACAGTAATCTTCCTCAAAACTGTGCAGCATTTCTCCTGCATGTCAAAGCTGATGAATTAGTTTGAGAAATATCTAGTTTATATTAGCACCCATCACATGGTAGCAGCAATAAGGTTCCACAACGCATTCTTCAGAAACAGATAAACATTCAGAATAGAATTAAACTTTCTGAATATCTGGGCACCACCATTGCCAGTCTCTATTGTATTTCCTGATCATAAGAGATTTTAACTCGACCAAGGAAATGAGTTGCAGGTTTTAACATAGTGTGCAAGACAGCACCAGAAGGACAAATCTATTACGTCATATGAAGTACATTCAGTAACCAAAACTCAGAAAATGTAGTTTTTATTTTGAATCATAATAGTTTATAAGCAAAATAAATTTCTGCATTTTTTTAAAGTGAGGACTATCCAACATAAAGTCCTAATCAAATTTAAAATTCTTAACAATGAGTAGGTCTTTTACTGAAATTGCTCTAGTGTGAAGTTATGTCACTGCAATACACACCGGTCCATCTATTGGCTGCCTCCTTGGCCACTTTGTTTGTTTGGCCTGAAACAGAGAAAAACATCAACACCGATAAAAGCACACATCACAGTAAAATCATCCCATAGTTTCAAGACACAGAGATTAAATTTGCAGTGATGTCATTTTTAGGGAACCACACAATACAGGAAAGTTATTCCACTGCTTTCAAACACTTCTTTTGTTTTACAGTTTCAAGGCTTCAGTGAGCACAAAGCTAGGTTAAAGAAAAACAGGATCAAGGAACATAAGAGATACCATATGAACAACTGTGAGTTTTAAAAGTGTATTTTAAAATAAAATAATCCTACTTTTGTTTGCGTGAGGTCTTAATTGTCTGCAGCAAGACTGGAACTAGATATGTGGCCTGAAGATACTTGAGGCAATGGAGATGGAAAATATTTCATAATCCCCTCTATACATAAGTAATCCATAGCATGGGTATGCATGACTCCATATACATAAGGAAAATGACAAGGCATCAGTCTATCACATTAATCCAAAAGTTGATAATACAGCTCTGGAAAGTCTCCCAGGCTTTAAGAACCCCCTCAACAAAGACAGAATAATGTTTCTGGTTATTAAATTTGTCTTACCTTCCTTACCACCCCTCTAGAACTAAATACATAATAGTAATTTACTATTACTACCAGTAGCTTTTGTATAGCTTCCATGAAGCAAAACGATCAAGAAAAATTCCTCCTAGATCAACTTGCTCCCATTAAAATAGGTACTGAATCAAATCAAGCAGGTTGGTTTGTAACGTGGGAATTTATCAGAATCATTATGGTTCTCACACCTACACATAATTTAGTTATTCCCAGTTAAGTCTTGTTAGTACTAGCACAAAAATACTCATTTGAATGGTCAGCATGAAATTTGTCTCCAGGGGGTGCTTAGAAGTGAATATATGATCAGGTATTTATTGTTATATAAATTATACTTCAAGCAAAATTAAATTACTCAAAGATCACCTGCTAGCACACAGGAAGGTAAGCGTTCATTATTCTAACCTTAATACTTCCGTAACTGACGTGAAAAATGTTTAAACTGGAGTAATATGACATTTCAAAATCAGTGTAATTTCTAAAATGGTCTACAATTAGAAAATTTGGGCACAGCATGAAGAAAAGCAAAAAAGATGGGCAAAAAACAGAATAGATGAGAAGATGGCATTTCCGCTTGCCTGCATGCACCAGGAATTCAAGTTGTTCCTAGCTTGAGAGAGATATTCCTTTTTTCCTTTGTTGACTGGTAATTGCCACCTCCACCTGTTCAGTTCCATGACTGGCAGTACTGACAACATATTTGCAGCTAATGGCATTTGGAACAGTACTTAACCTAACCCTACTTAGATCAAGTCTGCAGAGTAAGACTCTCACTGGTCAAGATTTAAAACATGTTAGTTGTGATACTTCTCCCAGCATTTTTCTGAAATTCTACAGTAAAAGTCGAAAGCGGTATTTGACTCCAAGTAATGAAGTTTGAAACGAAGAGGGCAGAGCCTTTAGCTATCTCAAGGCAAGATGTAATCCTTTGGGATCAGGCTTAACCTTGCCTACAATTCTACTGCATGATTTTGTGTGCCTGCTGTAACCAGCATCATGCCTGAAAGAAAAACGAGACAGGCTTTGGTAGTTATGGACCTACATCATCTGAATACACAGCCACATCTACACCACCGCCAGCACCTTCCAGAGGCCTCCGACTCCATCACAAGAACTGATAGAAATGAAGAAAGCTGCAGCTTGACAACTTTTATAGTTGCTTGTTGGGACTTTCACTGGTTCCATCATCTGTATGTGTACAGGCATGGAGAATGAGGGAAAGGAGAAGTAGTAAAGCAGACACCCCCCAAACACACCTACTTTATATATGGGTGTAACTAACTCAAAGTCATGCTACCTCTGATTGCCTATTCCCCAGCTCCAGAGGATCACACAAGCATTGGACTTCTGGTTTTTAGACTGCACTGAAAAAAGAAAGTTCAAGATCTAAAGACAGCAACAGCATGGGAACTTAAAAATGTATACTCTAAAGAAGAATCAAGACACCAACTCTGTGAACTGTAAAAAGGAGAAACGCAGACACAGCATTAAGGGAAACTGGTTAATTGCCAAAACCACTGCTACCACTGGGTCCTAAATTTGGCTGGAGTCCTACTGATCCTCCTGCTGACCAGAGCTGCTCTAACTGAACTTGATTTTTGGCAGCTACTAATTAGTGCTCCTATACTGAAGCTGCACAAAACAATGAAAGGCCAAACGTGCAGTAGAGGTGAGCAATACAGGAAGCAACGTTTTCCAGATGCTTCCAGATGTTCTCCTTACCATTAAGCTCTAGTTACACTCTACCTAAACATCTGCACATAGGCTGACAATATATACAATTGCTGTCTGGAAACAACAAAACAATCCATTTGTTTTGAACATTACATATTTATTTCACCTACTTGTATGACAACGCATCAATAGACTTTCCCCACTCCCAAGTCTGCAGGATACAAGTCATTTATTTCGCTGAGGCACTGTATCTGTATCTTCTGCTGAAGAATTTCAGACATACTGGACATTTTCTAAGAAAGAAAAAGGAAGCTTGCATTTTCTCTCCAAAACTGAACAAAAGCAACCGCTGTGTGTACAGCAATGCAAGGCCCAGGAGCAGCGTGATTTGCAATGCTAGTCTGTTATGTTAGCAAAACACACCTGGAAATTTGCCCTAAACAGTGAAAGGTTAAAGGTCAGAGAGTTAATTCTGACCAATCCTCGTGGAAGTCTCTTCTTCCCTCAACCCAGGTATTTCTGGAGAACTGCAGGGAACTCAGAGAGCCCAGATTCTGGGAGCTGAACCATTATCCTAAGCAACTGTGATTGTCCTTATCACAGGCAGAATTCCCTTGTATTCCCACAGAAGAAAGCAATGGTAGGGAAAAGGAAGGTCCAGGGGGAGGGTATTTTGGAGCAGGCCAGGAGACAGAGCTGACAAAAGGGCAGATGGACAGCTGTTGGAGGTGCACTAAGGAGCCTTCTAAAATACATGAACTGCACCTGGTCAGGAGTGAAGGCCAGCAGCACAAAACATTAACACAGCAACGTTTCTGAACAAATCCGAACTGGCAATATATACTGACTCAAATCTTAGCATGGAAAGGTCACAATGTTTCTGATCAGGCTCAGGAAGCCCCACAGTCATTCACAGCATACTGCAGAACTACAGCTTCTCTTCTCCCTTTCTTCTTTCCTTATTCTCCCAGATTCTCTCCCTTTTTTTCGTGGAACGAGAAGGTGGTAGGAATTAAAAGTCCTATTTGCATTCCAAAAATGAATGGCCAAAAAGCTGTAGAAGTCTCAAGTATTTCCACAGGAGGGGAAAACCACTACATGCCTCCTTGACACAGTATATATAGTAAGTTAGCTATGAGACTTTGGATACTTTCATGGGTGAAAAACAATTATGATAGCAACAACCACAACCATCTCCTTACAAACACATTCCAAATCCACTTTCAGGTTCTTCCTAAAAGGCTTTTTAAGTCCTGCACGTATCATTACAGAAATATTAAGGACTCAGTCACAGAACAGAATTCAGCTCTAAAGGCAACATAAAGCCCCAAGAGCTATAGTAAAAAAAAAAAATAGTTTCAACAGCCAAACCAGCTCACAACCACATATAATCTTGGAAATGCACAAAAACCTGTAGCGTTCTTTGATCTCCTAGATCCTACTCTGGCATTTTCAGGATAGCTTTAAGCATTGTTGTAGGTAATGTTTTTCAATATAAAAAAACCTTCAAGGTCCAGGAACCCCTATTTCCATAGAATAACAAAATCTAATTGTATTTATAAAGGTAGCACACCTGAGTGCCAGTTTGGACCTACCACAACTAATGCCACAAGAAAATTGTAGGGATTTCCTCAGTTGAAAGGCACACAGCTGCAGAGGGAAGCAGCACTTTATCAAGGAGACAGTCACCCATCAGCCTGTGGGACTGTTAGCAGACACATACAAAATACAGCTGCAGCCTTCAGCATGTGGGTGAGGGAGTAATTTAACACTGTGAATCACAATTCTTCTGCATGAAATGCAGAGAACAGCTGCAACTGTTCTCAGGGACCAGTGAGGATTATTAGCCCAGAGGTTCTCAATCCCTCTCATGAAACTGGTCAGGGTAAATTAATTGCATTAGGTGCATTTGAATTCCTGCAATAATACTGCATTCACTTAGACTGAATTTGAAGATGAAAAACGTCAACTAACACAAGAAGCGTACATGAACTTGAATGTCCCATGATTCTGATTGTCTGCTGCCTTCTGCAGAGAGTTATGTATTCTCCTGCACACAGGCTGCCCTCACTTTTCCAGAAACATTACCTTGTTATCATCACACTGGAACAGATTTGTGTTTCCCCACCTCTCCTGGAGCAGCTTCACTATAATATCATAGTGTGACCCATAGTTTTCAAAATTTTTCCCACTAGTGAAAATATCTCATGCAAATAAAGGGCCCATCTCTAAAGGCCAGGATAGAAGATGACCATAGAAATTATACACCTGTCATCCACGGAAAGTACAAAATACAATTGCCTAGTAAGTCCTCCTGACATGCCCATTCACAACTGACTGGCCAGAGACTGATCAAGAGACTGCAGCTTGCCACTGGAGAGTATGGCAATTATTTGATGAAGTGTCTTCTCAGAAGTCCACATTTGAGTATCCTCAAGAATAGGTAGTCTGTGACACTGTCAACAGGGTGAACTGCAATGCAGCAAGAAGAGCTTCAGAAGAATGTTTTGTAATCATGTATTAGGCAGAGACACCTCCAGAATACTGGAAACCTTTACCTTCCCCCATGCTTCCCAAAAAGGTGTTTCCTGTTATAAGCAGAATAAAGAGCTGCTGTGCAGGAAAGTGATAGCACATCAGAATTCTGTCAACTCCTTTGAATCCAAAATAACACATCATTCTTCCCCCACACTCCAGTATCCCACACAACACTTTCCCCCCTAATATTAATCAACAAGTCACAAT